TAAGGAGACAAAATCATTCTTCCGTCGCCTTTGAGTATGACCTAAGTGTAAGCATTAATGTAATTATTTTATGCGGAAAAATTTTGAAATTCAGAATCGTAGAACTTATGATTTTCATGATAAGAGGGATGAAGACACACCTTTATCCATAGCAATGCCTTTTGAAATGATTTGTTGTAGAATACAGAAGAAACGGAGAAATCTGATTTCTCTCCCTTAACCCACTTTTCTCTTAACATATCTTATCTGATGGAGGACAAAATACAACGTTTGTTCTTCATGGGTGGAGAGAAGACCATACTCTATTTATATGGGTTATCAATAGGTGCTTTCCATCAAAGCATATTTCATTTCGTTAGAGTCGCATAGCAAGAGTCACATCTCTTCGGAGTAACTGTAACTTCTCAATAGAATTGCGCATTTTCATCTTTTCATAAGCAATACGTTTTAGTAATTAACTAGTTATTTAACAATTAATTAATAACATCATGGGGCCACATTATTTTTACACTAACGTGACAAATTTACGGTATGGTTACATTTAGTCAACCCTAAGGCAACAAACCTAGGAATTTGTTGCCTTTGGTTTACCCTAAAGCGATAGAAATCATTTTTTCATCCTTTGGATGGATAAGGCGATACAAGTAAGTTTTGTAGCTATTGATTGCGCATTAAGGGGAGAAACTATTCGATTTGTTGCCTTTGGTCGTACTGGCGATGAAAATTTTCTTTGAACAAGACAAAAAATAGAATTGAAATTTTAAGTTGTACGCAGTGTAAGTAATAATGAATGGTGCTTGCCGTTATAGACAAACGTTTGATGCTAACACATAGATTGCAAACGAAAATTGAATACTTAATGCTACTTATTAACAAATACAAACACGTGGTATCATTATGGAAATGTAAATGTTCGATAGTATGGTTGGATACATTACAAGTGTAATTATTAGATACGGTTGGAATTACTAATAATTTGTACGGTAGAAAATACTAGTAAATTTTTAACTAGGAGAAGTGAGACAAACTAGTTGTACGGTTATTTAGAGATCAATTTAATCAATTAGATAAACCTTTTATTTATTGATTTGATAAAGTTATTTCCCTACATTTGCAAGTCTATTATGAATTTGAAACATTTTTTTACACTATTGAATATGTTTGTGACGCCGGAGAGAGAGTAGAGAAGTAGGAGGTAACACAACTGAAAACTTAACTGGATTGGTTACTCGCCATCCGTAGGAATCCATTGGATAAAAGCAATACTCACCACATGTTGCTAATCAACATAAGGATAAGAGCAAAACAAAGAAAACTTCTTATTCTCAAGCCAAAGGCTCAAATAAATTATGAATCAATCATGTCTTTTCATTCATCGTAACATGCTTATATAATTGAGCACGGAACAACCCTCCAAGCACGAGTAATAACCTAGACTCATTGGAAAGTCATATCATAATAAAATCCTAGGAACTAGAACTTTGACTCTTGGAACATTCATCACAATTGAGACTCGTAAAGATTTAGTAACTAAGAAATGCAATAATGACATTTCAGAGACGTTGAAAATGTGAGAAAGATAGTTGATTGTAAATCTCCATGTCTTGACTATTTCCAAAGTTGTCGAATTGATGGCCTTCAAGGATGCTCAGGCATCAGTTAGTTATCATGTTTCTATTTTCTTATATATGCATCTAAGATTAACTTTGTTATGGTAAGTACATTAATCATGCTTGTCTTTAATTATAGAGAAACATGGCAGCGATCTATAACAAAGGCTGCAACACTAATCGAACATTTATTTCAATTTTAGTTGACTAATACCACACATGTGGTATATATGAATAAATGAAATATAACTATTTCGGCAAAATGACACTATTAGTGCCATAACTTGTGTACGGAGATCACTTTGGTGCCATAACTTTTTTTCCGACCACTTTGGTGCCAACTTTTTTGAAAAACGATCACTTTAGTGTCAATGCTGACATGGCTTGCCGGAAATCCTACGTGGTGCTGACATGGCTCGTCGGAGAGGTCCATGGCTCGCCGGAGAGGTCCAGTCAGCATTAAAAACAAAAAACGACGCTGTTTAGTTCGCTGACGTGTACTTTTTTAGAAAAATAAAATTTATATTATATTTAAAAAAAAATCAAACATTGCAGCAGCGACGAGGGCTCCCTCGTCGCTGCTGTTGCCACCCCACCACCGCCGGGAAGGGCCGGCGGTGGTGGGCGGAGTGGTTGGCGAGGGTTGTTGGCCCCTGGCCGGGGCCCGGCGACCCTCGCCGAGAGGAAGCGATCGCCTTTGCTGGGCGAGGCGAGACCTCACCGTTGCGACCGAGGCGATGGCAAGGTCGGCCTCGCCAGATCTGGCGGAGCTCGCCGGTGGCCAGTGGGGCGAGCTTCGCCAGATCTGGCGAGGCCGACCTCGCCGTCGCCTCGGTCACGACGGCGAGGTCTCGCTTCACCAGCATAGGTGAGGCCGACCTCGCCGTTGCCTGGGTCGAGGAGATGGCGAGGTCGGCTTCGCCTTTGCCGGGCAAGGGGAGACCTCGCCGTCGCGACCCAGGCGACGGCAAGGTCGGCCTCGCCTTTGCTGGGCGAGGCGACCTTGCCCAGCCAGGGGCCGGCGAGGCTTGCCCTTGCCGGTGGCCGGCGGGGCGAGCTTCGCAAGAGGCCGGCGAGGTCGGCCTCGCCGTCCCTCCCCTTTGGCTGGTCGCCGCACCGGCGACCGGGAAAAAGTTAGGAAAAAAAAAGATTAAAAAATTCGAAAAAAAGCCACATAATTTCCACCTGTACAAGTCAGACCATTTTTTTTAAAATATAAATGCCACATCAGCTTTTTGGCCGGAATTTTGGCCGGAGTCACTAAAGTGATCTATTTTCCTCCGATTTGGCACCAAAGTGATCCGAAAAAAAGTTATGGCGCCAAAGTGATCTCCGTACATAACTTATGGCACTTCTGGTGTCCTTTTGCCTAAATATTTCGCAGTATAATCGATGGCAAAATAAACTTCGTAGTCTAATTGGATCTTTTGCATTCTAATTGTCATCGACAAAATTTAATTAATTGTACAGTTAAAAAAAAAAAGACAGATGTCAATCTCGAAAAGATTGAAGCAATGCTAAATATACAAAAAGTCACACCAAACATCCTTAATCCGCTCAAGATGTCGGCCCCGTTCAGATGCACTCTCCTGCATCTCATCCTAGTCGTCAGCTGTGACCTGTGGGGACTATTTCTATGCCCCGCGACGAACATCTGCTCCATTAGTTTGAATGCATATGAACTCGACGCTCCAACTTTCTCGTCTACCTTATTCTAATGATTACTTAAGACTTGATGGACTCCCGGGGCAACACGTCTAGCTAACTCAACTCCAATGTAAGTTTGAATTCGAATCCCAACAGGTTCACGATTTCACACTTGCCTCTCGTGCCCTATACTTTATGCTGCCCTGGAAAAGAAGTGGGTGCATTGCAAAGGGACCGGTGATGCTGCTCAATGTCATTTAGCATCTGTTTCTTCTGTCCCAATTTGAATAAGAAAGGTCGGCTGCGGAGATGCAATCTGAGATATGTTGAAGTGTGGATTTGCCTACAAATGGCGAATCCCATGATTTTGGGTGCGAAGGCAGGCCCAAGTATTTAAATTGACTGTTAGATCATTTTGAGAATCCACCTTCGGGTAGGTACAGTGTACATACACACTGGCCTGTGTAGAATATAAGTATGTTTACAAGTTAGGGTTTCGCAAATGGCCGTCATGGCCCTTGACATCAAGGATGTACATGGGGGAGCTGAAGTCGGAGCGTTTTACAAGCCACCGAATCCGGGTCAAACAAGGAAGGAGTGATGGCTCCATTTGTCTTAATATTTAAGTCAATAAAAAAATTCCTTATTACATTGAGAGCTAAAGAGAGGAGATGCTTTCAAATGCACCTTTATTTAGGTTTATATCGTTTTTCTTTACCTACTTTTGATGCTTGCACTCCATGAAAGTGGACCGTCTACACTACTATTACTTGTAAAATTTCTGCTTCAAGGAATCCTTGTAATGTCTGCAAAGCACTGTTTAGTTGATGCATCCGAACTCTCTTGTTGGATAGTTGAGAGGAAAGCTCATATAGAGTTAGTCAGATGATAAAACTTGCGATGCTATAGATTTGTAATGCTTTACTATTTCAAAAGATGCAATGGTTCAATTGCCCATTTGAAACTTTGAAACTTGTATTTTGAATATAATCATATCAATGATTTGCATGTGTTGCTGGCTAACTTCACGGCTTTCAATGGAGATGTTGATTTTAACGTCCTTCTCTCTCTCCGCCAAAAAACTTTCTAGCATCACTTCTTTAACCTTCAGCTTTTCTATTTTCTTTTGTCATAAACTTTTTCAGATGGAAGAAATCCTATTCGAACATATAAAGGGATCGCTCGATTTTTGTTTCCTTTATCTAGAATTCTGTCGATGGTGACAATCAAATATTGGTATTCGACACATGTCATACGGGATGGACGAAGCTTTTAAGGGGTACTAATGTTTAAGAATAGTTACTCTCTCTGGTGACTAACTTAAGAAAAAAAAGAAAAAATGGGAAAAAATCGAATTTATATATATACACACACCAATCAATCATATCGAATCCTCATATAAATTCACTATTGATAGTTAGGCTAGTTGAGAGAGAGAGAGAGAGAGAGAGAGAGAGAGAGAGAGAGAGAGAGAGAGAGAGAGAGAGAGACCTAATATAAGTACGGTAGAGAAGCCCCTCATAAGTAGCATATACTTGATTGCAAGCAACATACGAAAATGGAGAGGAGTCGAGGCTATTGCATTCCAAAGTCAATTGGCCTCGAAGGTAGACGAGAGCAAGGCACCCCGTTTTGCCCCTTAAAATAAGCCAAGACCCATAAATGGGAAATGCAAAAATTGGGAGAGACTATCGCATCCATATGCACACGTACTGGTATTTACCTAATTGATTGATGATGATGCTGCCTACATGCCACGATTGTCCCCAGTTGTTCCCTAACCTAATGTTCAGCACATGAACACCGATACCACTGCAATGTGATCACGTAATTACATTCTCTCTTTTCCAAGTATTCTCTCATAAAAATAGCCATCCGTTGACCTCGCTCCCTTTTGCCTCTAAAGCACTCCTTCCCCTCGTCCCTTTCTTCTTTTTCCCTTTCCTCCTTTTGATCTTCTCTCCATAGCCTTGTCTGCAAAAAGGAACCCCATTGAAGAATGCGTGCTTGAATGTCCATAGACGGGTACTGTCCAAGCGATATCGATCTGAATATATCGGCTTATTCTGTCTTTTTTTCCTGTCGTTTCTTTCTGTTACCCCCCTTCATAGGACTGACTTGTGTGATGATGGGGTTGGGTGGTGCTAGGGAAAGATCGGACGAGATAGCAAAGAAGATCAAGAGAGAGAAGGATGCAGCTTATGGTGATGAAATGGGAAGACGGCACATGATGTTGAGCCCGAGCTGCACCGGGACGCTCAACAACATAACGCCGTGCGCGGCGTGTAAGCTTTTGCGGAGGCGATGTGCCGAAGAGTGCCCTTTCTCCCCTTATTTCTCCCCACACGAGCCTCAGAAATTCGCCGCTGTTCACAAAGTCTTCGGTGCAAGTAACGTCTCCAAGATGCTCACGGTGGGCCACAGCTTCCTCTGTCTATACTAATGCTAATAGTCCATTGCTACCTATCAATTCCTTTTTCTCAATCTTTCTATTCTGATCACTGAACATACACGCACACATGATCTGGGATTTTCTATAGGAGGTAGCAGAGAGCCAAAGGGCCGATACCGCAAACAGTTTGGTGTACGAAGCGAATCTGAGGCTAAGAGACCCAGTGTACGGATGCATGGGTGCAATCTCGGCTTTGCAACAGCAGATCCAAACTCTGCAGGCTGAACTCAACGCTGTAAGAAATGAGATACTGAGATTCAAATACAGAGAAGCCGCCACTAACAATCATATTCAATCCAATGTTGTTGTTCCTCGTTCTAGTACTGCTCTTAATCCTACAGCTGCTTTGGTGGTTTCTGTTGTTCCTCCTCCAACCTTTTCTTCGTCTTCTTCTACTGCCGCACCTCCCGACCCCTCTCCTCCTCCTCCGCCACCCCCATCTTTAGTCATTCCCTCATCTTCTTCCTCCTCCTCCTCTTCCACTTCTTCTTTATTCACCACCTCAACCAGCACCACCACCTATAGCTCCATCTCTAGCGACACTAATGTTCATTACTTTGAGCAAATCTGATCTCAGAACCTTTTGATCACTGTTAGTATCCATATGGAAGCTATTGTACTAGATTATTTGACTTGCGCCTGTTCTAATTATACACAAGGTTGAGAAGAACCACTTCATCTTAGAGATTTCTTTGCAGCTCCTGTATTGTGATCTGATCTAGATTCCCGAGTAACTGTAATCTCTTTTTCTATGATTTGATCACGTCAAGCATTATTTCCACATGATGGATCCTGCAGTGATAATCATATTCTTATGCTGACTTATGTCCCACGTCATATTAAGTTTACCGACGGTAAATTCATGACCATAATAGAGACGTTCTGAGTCATATGTACTGATTACAATTTGCACATAGTCTCACGTATGTTTCAAGACCTTTACAAATCATGTGGGTTGCGGAAAAGTCAGCTGCAAGTTGTTCTTTAAGCTCAAGGGGCCGTTGAAGAACTGTTCATACTTCAAGACTGTCCTTTCGAGTGAGCATCCTATGTCGGTGATTCACTTTTCTTTGAGGTTGCAGCTCAGCCCTATCGCAAGTCTTCCGCCGGTTAAGATCATTTCGTGTGTGGCATGTACTTGCTTCATTAAAATTGAAAATGGGGGCGACATGGGTAATGAAAGCTTCTTTTGGGGCTTAATTCTGGATTTCTTTCAAATACCTTGCTGTACTGTTCATCTAGTCAAGCAATCGTGGAGTATCAAGTACATCATCTAGCTCATTATTTGTTTCCCGAAAAATTTCTTGATAACCTATTAAGCTTCGTGATGGTTGGGAACATGACTGACCTGGTGGCTCATCAGGCACCATTGGAGCCTACCCAAATGTCAAAAAGTCTAGGATGGTCGGGCTTACAGATGAAAGTCTGAGGACCCAACACTATACATGAGCAAACCTGCCCAAACTTAAGGTTTGGTAGGTACTTATATTGTCAGGGTTTTCATGTAAACGGCGGGCCTGATGTGTGGGCTTAGCAAGGTCGGGCCTGGTGATTGTACGGCGGTCTTCTTAAGGAAGTTTCAGTTTTTTTCCTATGTAGCACTGATACCGACATACGACACGCGATATGACATGATACGCAACACGTCATTTCTCAAAAAATAGAGAATTCCGACACATTGGAACACTTATATTAAATATATATTTTTATATATACATGATAAATTATCATTTTTAATTCAAATCTACAAATAAATATACACGACTTCTTCCTTCTTCCCCCCAACCCACCCACCACGACTTCTTCCCTCATCGAGCTACCATTACACCATCAAATCCGACACCAAGACAAACAATAGAAAAACCAAAGCCCGTGACTAGGGCACTCGGCAGAAACAGAGAGAGGTGTACCTTCTACCTGGCTGCAATGGCGAGCGGTGACCAGCGCGGAGAGAGCCTCGCGGTGGACCGGTGGTCGATGGAAAGAAGAAAGAAGAGAATTTGAGATGGGTAGGTCGTCGGTTGAGTGAAGAAGACAGAGAAAATAAAGACCTAGCGTGTTTTAGCTCTATTTCTTCCACCTTTATTTTTTTTTTAAATTTACATTTTGACCCATAATTTTTTGAAAATTTATAAAATTAACCCCGTACATGTCAGAATCGCCTGTCGGGATTCCACACTTGCGTGTCAGGGGCGTGTCCGGCACATTGACCGCATGTCGGAAATCCGACACCTGTTTGACGGCGTGTCGGTGTCCCACACAGACACGTTGGCCATTCCAACGTGTCGGTGCTACATAGGTTTTTTTCTAATTCAATGAAAGAAGAGTTTTCTTAATGATGCGCAGTGGTAACATAGAGTATGTTATGACTCGATTTGAGATCTGGCTTTATTTAATACTGAACATCTCGTAACTTCTTTAAAATGTCATGGACTTTTCAGGCCATTTAAATTGAACGGCAGTTTTTCTTATTATTGTAAAGTTGAGACAACATTTTTCAAATTTTAGCGAGAACGTGGATAAGTAACTCTTAAAGTCAAACAGGCATTTGTATGGCGACATTATTGTTGGTGCTCATATAAATCAAACTAGTCAATCGTATAAAAGTGGCATTTGCTATGGGTGTATAAGTCCAACGTTGAATTGTTCAAGGTTTTATTCCCACTGAGAAATCTCAAGTGCAGACTGGCTACAGAAATCAAAGTTACACTTTCTCGACAACAAAACACTTCCCCGTCGGTTTGGTTGGGGGCATTCGCATTGCATACTCATCCTGGTTTTTTGCTGAACATTAGAGAGAATAACCTCATCTTTTCCACAATCACGAATGGTGAGACAAGGCGTAGAGACTCTAATTGACCTTGCTACAGATCTTGCGAATTTCGCCTTTGGAACCCGTGAGGGGGTTGATGTCACCCATCTTGATCATGGCGGAAGCAAAGTCAGAGTTGAAGGTCTTGGGGTTGTTGGAGTACGTCTTGACGAGAGAGTCGGTGGATCCGCCATTGAAGAGCTCCTGGTCCGAGTGAAGAAGGCCCTTGTTGCTGATCAAGTTCTTAAAGTAGGCGTTGTCGAAGGCAGTGGGCGATTGGAGGTCGAGAGGAGCCAGATTGCTGTCCCCAGACCCAACGGTGCGGGGGCACTTGCCCTGCCTAGTCTTGGCAAAGGAGCTGTCGATGTTGCTGTCGGTGTATATGCGAGGTCTGAAGCTCGTGCACCTTGACTGCCCTATGGTGTGAGACCCTGCAATACACGCCCGTATGCATGACCCATGAGCGACCTAGCAATTGAGCGAGGCCAGAGACCGCAAATATTAAACACGTACCAGACAAGGCAACCATGTCCCTGGTGGAGAGGCCCTGAGCTTTGAAAGTAGAGATGAGGTTGGCGAGCGTTGAAGATGGAGGGGGAATGGCTCCGCTGTTGGCGACCGAGAAGCTTGCGGTCCTTGCGTCTCTTCTTCCCAGTTTCACTTCCCAACTTGGCCCGCCCAGCTTCAAATATCACATCGCCATCAATTGATATTAACAGTGTATTAGGAGCTCAGAATAAATGAACAATTAGCTATATCAATTTCAACACATACTAGGACCACCGAGTCGCGAGCGGCAATGGCTACAATGTCTGCACAAGAGACCACGCCTGGACAGGCGGACTCCACCTTGGACTTGATCTGGTCGATGACGTTGTATCCTCTTACCGAATTATTATTTGGACGGGCAGTCTTCTCCCCTTGGAACGAGGATGTGTCGTCCAGGAGTATCGAGCCATCGCACCCCTAATTTTTATCAATGCAAAACTAACCATGTCAAACCATGCATGTCTTTGAACAGGACTGACTCATCAACGATCCACTAAAAAGTAAGTGATTCCTCTTCGAAAGGTTCACACATTAAATATTGAAGAGCCGATGACGCTTTTTGCATAGCGATGGAGTTGGTGTCACTATTAATTTTCAAGTCAACTTAAAAAAAAACCTTTGTATGCATAGACTAGTTTGCATGAATGTTATCACGTTATCTTTCGATGGTAGATGGTATAGAAATCCAAATCGGCTTTTTTCATTCGAAAAGAAAAAAAGCGAGTGTATTCATAGAACTGATCATAGATAGCCTTTATACTGGAATTATGCAAACTCTTTCGCATCTTGTACAATAGAAGACTTGAGTTTTAATGGTAAAAATGGTTGTGGCAGGAGTGTATATGTGGGGAACAAGTAGAAATTTGAAAAAAAAAAAAAGGAGGAAGGAAAGATTACGTTGACGAAGCAATCATGAAAGAAGAGGCGAAGGAGAGAAGCACCCATGCGGCGCTCTATCGACACCGCAGACTGGACAACAGGTTTCACCGTGCTCAAAACATTGGGGCAACTTTTGGAGTAGAAGTTTGTAGAGAGTTGCGCAGAGGCACTTCCCCACGTGAGTGTGGTTAGAAAAGCTGTGGCGACAATTACCAAAATGGGATGACTAGCCATTATGTGGCGAAGGTGATCAATCGGACAAGAATGTGAACTTGTGTATGCGGGCTTTAAAGAGAGATCTCCTCAAGCAAGTTTGGTAGGAGGCGGTTCACCTAATCTCTCGGACCAGCCAATGCATGGCTTGAAAATTCCACGTTAGAGAAAAATACAAAGTGTTGAAAAGGAGGGGAATCTAGATTTTTTATTGAATTTTTTTACTGATGATGGATACGACAAATGAAGTAAAGATGAGGTTCTTAATTTTTCCAATTCCAGCGGCCGAAGGGCTTCAAAATGTCAAAAAGGTGTAGGGCCATCCCACGTCCATCAACCCTCTGCAAAATGCATGCATGCACTCCATTCCAGTTTCTTCCACTGTACTGTTTGCAGTTTGGTGGCGATCGACGTCGTGCTCGCCACCATACGTGACCATCTACACTTCTCTTGCTGGGAAGCGTGGCGTTCTCTCGGGGGTTAAGTGAAAGCATCGATAGTTTGTCCTCTTTTGAAAGAATTCCTGCTGAACTTTGATACCAAAAGTAATTACTGTTGTTACCCTTTTTCCATGAAAAAAATTCACTATGAGCATGTTTTGTTAACGTAATTTCGCTGTCATTTGAAAGACATGTTGTTCAAATACGTGTGTTTGTATGTGCAAAATAAAGTAAAGTTGTTTGACAAACCTGAAATGAGTGATCCGAATTTGACGATTGATCCGAGCCCAACGAATTCACGTTGTGTACTTAAGACAACTTGTCCCCTCTACCGGTACCCAAAGGTTGTTGAACAATTGCCTCCCAGAATAGAACGGATTGCCTTTCCTATGAAGCGGTACTCCTTCAAAGGAAACCTTCAAACGCAACTTCGCAAAACAATCGCACAAAAAATGACAATGATGAGTGTGCAGCAGAATGCCGTGAAAAAATGAATATGCGGAGAGATTACACCGAAAATGTTCAATTCGGTTCAGTCTTAATATTCATGAAGAGTCACAAGACTTCGTTTGGTCATGTGCGAAAATGAATAGTCACCAAGGACGAAAATAAAGAGTCACGAGCGGTTCCCGTTCGGTTAATGAACAGTAGCGAAGGCTCTCTTGAACCGGTTTTTGTTCGGGCAAACTGAACCTCACGAACAGACATGTCTGTCTGTTTGAAAAAAAAAAAATCGATAGAGAATGGACCTGAAACCGAGCCGTCCGGACAGACGGCGGCGGCGGCGCGCGCGGGGGAACCGACCTAGCTTGACGTAGGTCCTCTCTCTTCCACAAAAGTGGGGTACCCCTTGGGGCCAAAACCCATTTGAGAGGCTCCTCAAAATAA